TGCGGAAGGGACAGATAACCCATAATTGATTTTCTTCGTTGGTTTTTTATTTGTAACCCCCCGATGAGAGACAAATTAGCGTACAGTACGTACAGTACTGTACGTATAGTACTGTACGCGGCACATCACTAGTCTCGCCTAATAAAGTTGGAACAAGTATCACGTCGCTTTTATTGATCAAAAGTAATAAAGTAAATACTTATCTTCTGTAAATTTTGACTTGTAACTTTAATAAAACCCTGTGAGACTCAATTCGGCGGACTGAATTGACTTTAAATTCACATCGTTCTATTAAGACTCGGTAATCGCCTTTTTACGTTTTGGAACTCGGTCACGTGATTTTCGTACGGAAGTGCGTTCATCTAAGAAAAGAATTATTGTGAGACGAGAAAAGTAAAGAGCCCCACCTCCTTTGGCATCACCAGCATCAGTTGATTTTAGAAATATCCGAATTGGATCATAATTTATCTTTTAAATCATCAATATTTATTGATATCATCTTTTAATCCCGATTATATTGATTTTCGCTCCTAAGATCGATTCATTTTAAGTCATATATATAATTCGAAATAGCTTTATCAACATCATTATCAATCAACCATCGCCCTAAACATCAATATCCGCCGGTACCATCTTTTGATCACTTTATTCATAGTTATTCTCAAGACCGATTCATTTAAAGTCTTGATATCATTTCCCGAATCATTTTAATTCATCATAGATATTAGTTTTCGTGCCTTTCTTTCTTTCAAATTCTTCATATAAACCATCCTTCTCGTACTCGGTTGGAGTTCAAATTGGCACTATTTGTCTATAATTGTTCTCCGCTCTCCCATTCAACCGTTACAGTAATTGCATTCGTATTTCTAAGAGTTCAGAGTTCACAATATTTCATAAGTTTCTCGAAGATAATTAAAATTCCTTACGTTTGTTTATATTATTTGAATAAAAAATTTATTTATTTTTTTTTCTAAGAAAATGAAAAATTATATAGTTAGAGAATGGGCAGAAATTATCTCAGACCCTGTTAGTTTTGGAGATCAAGAACAAAAAGTTGTTCAACATGTTGACCTCCCCTTAGTAAAAAATGAATTGTCAATAACATTAAGAATAAGCCTAAAACAACATGCATTCGACTGGGCCTCTATTTTTCATAAAGGTAAAATCATCTATATTTTGTTTAATTACTGTACTATTCGACTGGTGATCTTACGGTTTTATAACTAAAATAAACTTACACTTAGGTACCGAAAATTTAATCCATACTCCAGGACTCCGGTTTACTCCTCACAAATCTGCATTGCACGCTCGATTCACGGAAAACTGGAATGGAAATGTTGGGATTGAAGCGCTTGATGGACTTTCATTACAACAATGGTACCATATAACTTATACACTTTCTGATCCTGAAAAAAGGTTGGATATCTACATAAATGGTGAATAGTCTGGATACTTTAGTATCCAAGACATTAGAAAGCAAACCGTTATTTTCAATGACGGGCCTATGTATATTGGTAAGTCTCCCTTTTGGAATGGATTTAACGCCGAAATTAGGTATGATTTATTATAGTAATGAAATTAATTTAAATAACAAAAATATTAAATGATTATTTAAATCAAATAGCAATTTTCGTTATTTCAACTGGCGATT